CTCCGGGCCTTGGGCCTCTTGTCTTAAATATATTGAAATTGAAATTGAACAGCAGTGTGAGTTGTATGCGTTCAAAACCAACCTACGAGGTTCCATCTACTGCAGTAACATTTTGTTAGCATCTAACTACCAACTCAAACTTCGAGACTTATTTACAACCAGTGCTTTCATTGACTGACTGGTATAACCTTGGCTAAAATGCGCCGAGGGCTCTCCTGGCGGAGGGTGCTTGCGAGAACTATTGAGCGGGGTCAGGTCTTATAAAACTATTCGCATTGCTTTGGTGATTTTTGCCTCAAGTAAACTTCACCTTATTATCCCGCGTGCAAGGTGTTCACCGTTGTTTATGTCTCTCGAAGTATTTATAGCGATGTTCTAGATTGGCGTTGAGTTGTGTGGGCCGGACTGTCAGACAAGTGATAAGGAGTCAATAGTACATCAATTTCATTTCCATAGGGACGAAGTGTATAAGTAAAAAATTCAATCAGTTAAAATTCCATACCGCTGTGAGCAACTTTGAATGACAGTTGCAACTGCGGCAGGCTCGACAGGAGTAAAATTGCGGCAAAACAAAACGCTGCTTGTGCTGTTGGACAGTGGTTGCAAGTTTCCCTAATTGCCGAATTTTCTTCTCATGAATAGGATGAAATAACAATGAGTCAGCCGTTGCCGATACAATTGTACCGTGCCGAGCTGCTAAGTGAATGTTCACCGCACCGTTATTTTCTGAAGGACCGCAAATAAAAGCAGGCATTTTAATATTCGGAGGTTTGCAATTAATCATGTAAAACGTCGCTCGGCACATGCGTCTCTCGAGCCAAGACCGTTACCCAGAGGCTTGTTAGTATGTAAGACACCAGTTGTTTTCTTTTTTTCCAGTCGAATCCCCTATGATGGCCTAAAACTCAGATTACAGTTCGCGCTACGTTCCCGTGCGCGTATTTCACGTTGCTGGACTTTACTGTAGACCCTGTAATTGACTGACTTTATTCAGTGCACCCAAACATGAGTATTAAGTTGAAATCCCTCTAGTATAGAACCTTTGCCTTTCGTTGCTGGTCGAGGGATTCACGTTTCTTTCGCATGATCCACATTCTTGACCGACCACTTCGCCTCTTCTTTCAAATAAATAAGGTAAGAGAGATAACTTGCCATCGCAAAAAGTCGTCGAGCGTTTCTACAACATGTTCTCGGCATGCCTTTTGACAACTGGTGTCTCGGTTGATCAGCGGCGTATGTAGCTGTTCTGAAAATGCGCATTAGGATAAATTGGTGTACATAATGTAGTCTGACCCAAACATTTAGTAAACGTCTTCCCACTTTTAGGACTCAACTTTGGTGAAAACGAATAGAAAAGAGGTAGTCCAAAGTTAATACTAGACAGTAACACATTTTTGAGGACGGATGATTCGGTAAGTGTTATCCATGAGCACACGCATGGGCATTGACAGTTTTGAAGTCCCTCTTGGTTAGTGGACATCGATTATTCCTTAAGCTTTATCACTCCTTCTGGATATAGTTTTTGTAATGCTTCACGCCTTGCTGCCCTGACTAAATGTTATTTTTGTAGCATTTTTTTTCTAACTTTTAGGTCGTAGAGTTTGGTTGAAAGGATCTGCAAAATGCCGAAGGCCATAAAGATCGACTATTTTCGTTATATGACAAATGAAGCCTGGCGCGTGCTTATGGCAGTAGGTTTTGTAGCTGTTCAGCGTAGTCATCTCCCTGTGCTTAGGTGGAAATGGGCATGAAAAATCACGAATTTGTCCCGGCTGATCTTGTGCACAAAATCTCTCGTTGCTCTCGACGCGGCTCCAGCTTCCTTAAGTTACTCAGGGACGAACTCGTGCCACACGGCCTATTGGCCTATGAGACAGATGCCCGAAAAGGTGAGTTCACTTACGTCCCAGCAACGATGATGAACATGATCTTATTTGTTAAGCTGCACAATAAGATGGCCTAACCAAATAGGCTTGATTATTGTGCTAGTTAATGCAAAATGAAGCTCTGAGTTGCCTGCCTGATGGTCTTCCTTGATTTTTTAAAACCGTTTTCCAGCCCATTCCGGCTATCGATTGACAAATCTGGGATATGACTATCTCGCCCTACACGCTCTCATCAAGAACGGACAGGTGATCGATCTCGGCTCCATGATTGGAGCTGGAAAGGAATCTGACGTCTATTTGGCCGTCGCTGGTGACCATGCTGGTCGGCCGGACGAACCTTGTGATCCTGCATGTGCCGTAGATGCATTACCCGCTAAAGGCGATTACGTCGTAATCAAGTTCCATCGCCTGGGGCGAACATCTTTCAGGAAGGTGAAAGAGAAGCGTGAGTACCACCAGCACAGAAGCACATGCTCATGGCTCTATCTGGACCGCCTTGCCGCCTCCCGCGAATATGGCATGATGCAGGTTCTTTTCGATAGTGGCCTGCCTGTTCCTCGTCCGCTG